ATTTAAATATCCTTAATAGATGCAATTCACAGATAAGACCTCATTTAACTTTTCTCTTCAAAGTCCCCTACCATAACATCTTCATAATTACTTCCAAGTTACAGTCTCTATTTGCAATTACTAACTAGATGTCATCAAATCACCATTAATTGTGATTTTAAAAAAAAAGTAACTACTGGATCAATTTTTTTTAAAAAAAATAGATTTAAAAAATAAGGTATGTGCAGAAAATAGAGGATAACAAACCCTAATCAGCGCAGTCTTCTCCTGCCCGCTCTCAAGAAGCTGGGCCAGTTCTCTCCTCATTTTCTTCACCTCAGCCCCTCTCTTGTTCCTCAGCAGCTTTATCCGAGCCACCGCGAGCTTCGACGACGTCTTGCTGCAAAAATTCGGTCCCCAAGTCAGAATCCAACTTTAACAATCCATGGGCATCAAGAGGAGAGATCAAAGTTACCATTTTGCCGGCTTGAAGCTTTTGGATAGCATGGAGAACCGCTGTCGACCTCGAGTCCGGATGTTAAATTCGATGAATTATTAGGAATCACAAAAGGATCGAAATCTAGTCTTTTTTTTTTCCTCGGCCCTTTTAGGATTTAATTCGAAGATCGAAGCGGCAGCAAATTTCGTCGTGGAGTCTGTCCAAGACGACTCTTCCTTCTTCGCTTGTTCCTGCCAAAATGACCAAACTTTATATTGGCGGGAGTAAATGACGAAGGAGCCCTCGAGGGTAACGGGCGGTGGCTTTGTGCCGAGGGGCATTTTGGGAGGCGTAGCACGGCGTGCCCGGGGTTAACGGCCACGTCCGCGGACTGGCGCGGGCCCACTTACGACTTGGCGGGTGAGGGTGTGAAATTAATTAGTGATGACCCCCAGCTAAATTAATCATGGAAGTGAGAGGGACGGCGAGAATATTCTATTTCATTCTAATAGAGGGGGAAACTTTGAGGCGGTTGGATTCGGATCTGAGGTTTTCTTTTGGAGGCGAGGGATACTTCTTTTGTTCGGGGACTATTTTATGACGACGAGGCGGCAACGGAGAAAATGTAGGAAGAAATGAAGACACCGCTGAGAGCGGCGCATTTGCAGCGAAAAGGCTCACTCAATTCACCTCCCTTTGTAGGGTACCTTGTGCGCGGAAGCAATCCGTAACAAAAGCTTACGTTGTTTGATTGGTTTAAAACGGAAACGCTTACCATTTGCTTCGTCGTCATTCGTGACGACGTTTGTGGACAAACCAACTCTTTTTAATGAAAAGGTGCGGGTAATGGTGAACAAACAATTACAACTGAAAATATTTTTTTTTAATTTTACAAATTACCATTTAATCAATTACAATAATGATTAAAATTCATCCTTCACACGAACCTAGAGAGTACAAATATCTAGCGCGTTAAAAACCCTCACACCATCACATATCCAACTCCAGGGAGAAGAGAAGACTTGGTCACTGCACAGGAGCCATTGGTAACTTTTAAGATATAAGCCCATAAAACGTTGTTATTTACGAATAATATTGAAAACCCCAACATAACGATGTAACGGATATTGAAATTACAAGTACCGAAAACGCACGCTACAAAAGCACCCTATTCCTAACCAAGGTACAAGCTAAAACATGCCTATACACGACTCAAGGGGGTTAGAAAATTGAAGTTACTTCCTCAAATACTCATTCCCCCACATGTTGCTGATCCAACAAATAAGGGCAGATATAGAAAGTTCACCAATGAAGACAAATAATACAACACCATTCATGTTAATCTGAACATACTAAGATAGAAGAAGATATAACACTCTCCAAGTCATTTGAAGTTTCACGTGGGGGGGAAAACAAACAAAAATAACTTATAAAGTTTGCTCCAGACATTGCAGAATTAACTCTATAATCTTCACAAGACCCAACAGGGTAAAGTACGTAAGCCTGTAAAACATCCAAAAGGCAAAAGCTGATAGCAGAAATGAATTATTAAACCACAGTACTCAATCTGGCATAGAAGTTCAAATTTGAAAACATACAGAATTTCCACCCACGCAGAAACAACAAAGCTTAACAATCCATTACTAAATTCAAAACCAAATCAGAGCAAAACACAAGACTACAACATCTAAACTTCTACCGGAATCTAAGTGTTAAAAGCAAAACTACCGCATCAAAAACTTACCATACATCACGTCTAACTCTGAGGAGAAGCCTTAGTCACTGCACCAGGAGCCGCCGGAGCTGCACCACCCTCACTCCCATACGCCGGTGGCTGGCCAGCTGGTGGGCCCCCACCATACGGCTGAACCTGCTGGTACTGTGTACCATATCCAGTATTTGTACCATATCCCGTTTGAGCATAAGCTGGCGGAGTTGCCGGTGGCTTCTGAGATTGAGGAGACTGTCCATAACCGGGTTGGGTTAATGGTGCAGGTGCACCGTACACAGGTTGTGGGGGGTAACTAGCAGGAACACTGCTTGGGGGTTGATTGGATGCAGCAGATCCATCTTGAGTGGGGTTGGTGGAGGTAGCTCCAGCATAAGCAGGTGCAGAATTGTATGATTGATCATAACCAGTTTGGGGAGTTTGAGTGTTATAACCAGGAGCAGCATAGTTTTCCTGACCATATGTTGGCTGCTGAGCAGTATAAGAACCTTGAGAGCTATAACCAGGATGAGGCTGGGAATAATTGTAGGCGCTTGTGTTATCAGCTGGGGCTGATGTTGGTGGCTGCTGCTGCTGCTGCTGCTGCTGATAGTAATCATAACCAGTTGCAGGAGTAGTTTGCTGAGTTTGCTGAGTCGATGACTGATCCCAACCAGAAGAGTAGCCAGTAGAGGCAGCAGGTTGAGGTGGGTAGCCTCCATAAGGAGGTTGGGTATATTGAGGGGGGGCTCCAGGGTAAGCTCCAGGCTGCATGTAGCCATATCCTGGTTGTTGTTGCAACGGGGGTGGTGGACCCCAGCTTGTTGGAGGTTGAGGAGGGCGGTAACTTTGCTGAGGATATCCTCCTGCTTGGGGGTTTCGGCGATTCTGTGTAGAAAATACTTCTATATGAGCTTGTCAACTTTTTGTATTTGATGACGAAAGGAAATATATCATTTGTATAGAAAATATAAATAACGAAGCATGATATTTGAAACAAAAAAACAACCAGAATTCATGGTCCAGGCATTGTACACATGCGTTTCAAAAGAAAGAAAACACACGTACCACGACAGGGGAAACTGTTTCAAGCTACATCAGCGGATGTCGATCCTCTCCCAGTTCAAAACTAAGGTCGCAAATCTAAACATGCATTTATAATGAAACCATATATTGCCAAAGATAGGACAAATGAACAGTATATTGTAAGGATGTATGGCAATAGGTTAAAACATTTTTGCAATTAGTTGAGATGTATATTTCCTATATGTAGAAAGACAATGTGATTCTGCGGTGCACATTTAGGCAATTAATATAAGTGAAACGACTCCTGCTTCACTATTCAAAATTAGTGCATGTGAACAATAATTAGACAATAATGACTTAAGAATATGGTGTTCAAAGTTGAATATAAACAAATGGGACAAAAATATGAATCAAGACAGCTCCATCAAATGATAACACGAAAAAAGGTATGACCCAGCAAATGGTGATAAATTAAGCATACATCTAGTACATGCATTAAAGGCCTCTCTGCAGCGCCAATGAATATGATTAATTTTGTTGAAGATGATGGTAGATGCGGCAACTAGACCCCACTTCACAAAAAAATCAATGGCAAAATGTAGAAATCATAAAAGAAAAGGATATTTGCAGCTGTCATCATTGCTCACACAGCCGAGCATACTGGTGCGACAGGGCGAGTAGAAAGAAGTTAAACTGCTCCAACAAGCAGCAGTTCAAATAATAAAAGACAGGTCAGGAAAACTGAATTCTTAACAGTAAAACACAGCCATATGCAACCTGCTCA